TATTATTTTATTTTTGGTAAATGTTCCCAACCAAAAGGAAAATTACGCGGCAAACCTTAAACATCAGAAAGTCAAAATGGCGTAAGATGCACGGTTTTGCTAGTTTTGCGTTCAATAACTTTTTATGATAATTTTCTCTACATCTCAATTTCACTCTCTATGTTTCTGTAAGTACTTACTGTCATGAATGTTTATGAATAGGGCTATTATCGCACCAACTTTTCGTTGATTTTAGCAAAATTTTCATTTTCAGGTAGAAAAAGATGACTATATTTTTGTCCACAAAAATGCTAAATCCAAGTATACACAGTGTGGTGCAGTGCCGTATTTTGAGAAAATTTTATCAAAAATGTCAATGTAGTACCAATGTACTTTTGGCTTCCAAAATGTACCAAAAAAGTACAATTGTACCATAAATTGCATCACTGTTTCACATACGAAGAGAGTTGTGAGAGAGAAAAAGAGGCCTGCTGAAGCGCTCTACTAACGACTGCCCAATATGACCAGAAAGAAAATTGGATATCTTCGGGGTCATTTAGAGGTTCTAAAGCCGTTCCTGAATAATCCCGAGTTATCCTTCTACAAACCATACAAGGTCAGAATTCCTAAAAAGGACTGCTATGAAGTGATAATAACTATGACTGACGAAGGGTCCCAAGTATTGTATACCGACGGATCAAAGATGGGCGACGAGAGCACTGCGGCGGGCGTATTTGGACCAAGATTCCAGAAATTTCTGCCAATTTGCTCATACAGAACTATATTCCAGGCGGAAGTCTTTGCAATCGCAGTCTATGTAAAGAACCCAATTTGTCCAAAATAAATATTATGTCGGATAGTCTGGCAGGTTAAAGGCCTTTGACTATTTTAAAACGGCACCAGGCTTATGGACAGCTGTGAAGCTCTTTTGAGCCACTTGGAAACCCACAATAGTGTAAGGCTGTGTTGGTTCCGCAACATGAACGGTTTGAAGGCAACGAAAGGGCTGAGTGTCTCGCAAAGTGTGGAGCCCAAATGCGCTTGCATGGTTCCTAGCCTTTTGTGAGCTGGTGGAGGAAATGCCAGAGCATATTCTATGTGACTGTCCACGTATTATAAATATCAGACTGGGGAACGATTGTCTTCTTCACTCAAAATTTGAAACAAGGCGTACTCCAAAGCGCTTAACTTCTTAAATAGTCAAGGGTAGGAGTCATTACAATTAGGTTTAAGCACAATAGATCTTCTTAGGTCGCAGCGCGAGTATCCCCGACGTAATAATAATAATAATAATAATATGTATCTGTAAAGAGTTAAACATTTGTGAAAGTTTGTACAGTAAAATTAATTGTTATACGTAGTTTATTTGTTTTATTCTACTAGCTGTGTTTTAGTTTTACTAAATGTTAGTTTGTCTTCTTCTTCTTCTTCTTATTTGGCGTCGTAACCGCCTAAGCGATTTTGGCCGAGTTCAGCAAAGCACGCCAGTCGTTTCTCTTCTGTGCCAACTGACGCCAATTGGAAACGCCTTGTGAAGCTAAGTCCTTCTCTACCTGATCTTTCCATCGCAGTGGGGGCCCCCCTCTTCCTCTGCTACCACCAGCGGGTTCCGAGTTGAATACTTTCAGAGCTGGAGCGTCGGGGTCCATTCGAACGACATGGCCAAGCCACTGTATTTTAATTCGCTGCATTATGTACATGTCGTTGTAAAGCTCACACAGCTCATCGTTCCATCGTCTGCGGTACTCGCCGTCGCCAACACGTAAGGCCCGTAAATCTTCCGCAACATCTTTCTCTCGAATACTCCAATAGCCGCCTCATCGGATGTTGTCATTGTCCATGCTTCTGTGCCATATACCAGCACGGGCATGATGAGTGACTTTTAAAGGGTGAACACACCAAAACTGCGACACTTTGGGAAGCTTATAACTTACCCAAAATGAATTCAATATTTTGAAATTCAAATACCATAAGTTGACCATCACCTTAGTTGAACGTAGAAGAAATTTCATTTGAATTTGATTCCTAGTTGAGTTAAAAATTGCAACCGAGCTAGAAATGAGACAAACCATTTTGCACGAGTTTATAAATGATCCGGCCTTAAGTACACGTAAAATTGCTAAAAAATTAAAGATTGCACTATTCGACAGTTTGCAGGGTTTTAATCGGTACAAATAAGGCCAGGCAGTTACGAGAAAACCAGGGAGTGGGGGTTAGCATGGTCAAAGTGATAAAAACAGTGCTCGGAAGGTCCTCAGTGCGTTTTCGCGAAATCCGAAGATTTTGTCGCGTTATGTTGCAAAATCTGTATCAAGATCACAGTTTTTCGTACAAAAGGTAAAGCGGAAAGCTTCATTGAGTTGTTCTACAGCTCAAACAGCGGCAGGCCGAGGCGCAAAGTAGAATGTTACAGCGAAATCCCGCATTCGGAAGTTGTCTGAATTCTAAATTAAAAAGTACAACTGCATTGTTATGGACTGCGAAACCTACTGCTATAAAAATTCAAAATATATTGCAGGTCAAGATTTTTATACTGCTGCAAGTCGTCAAGATGCCCCTGAAAGTTGTAAGCTGAAAATGAAGTCCAAATTTCCAAAAACCACATGGTTTGGCAAGATATTTGTTCCTGCGGCCGTAAGAGCAGCCCTTTTTCCCATCCGGGACAATGAATGATCAAGTTTATCGGGATGAGTGCCTCAAAAGGCGACTTCTGTCATTTATCAACAGATAAGGAGTAGGCCACTGTTCTAGGCGGACGTGGGAACCTGCCACTATGCCAAGGACACATTGCCGTGGTATAATGCAAATAACATCAATTTTGTACCTCACGACTGCAATCCACCCAATAGCCCAGAGCCACGTCCTATTGGGGAATATTGGTCAATTGCCAAAGAAATCTTGCAGAAAACAGGTGAAACAGTGAAAAATATTGAAGAGTGCAAAACAAAGTAGTTGTGCGCATCGCGTAAAGTCGATGATGCAGTCGTGCCGAACATGATGGCGCGTGTGCGATGAAAATACCGATCACTTTCATATGGAGCTATTAATAACTAATATTTTAACATTTTAATAACATCAAAACTTCCAAGTTATATAATACAAAAAAAAAATAATTTCAAAGCCTGCTAGTTTGTTTCTGGTAGTAATTTCTAAGTGTCGCACTTTTGGTGTGTTCACCCTTTAGAGCGTGGTTTTCGTATGTCGAGAGTGGACTTTACTCCTGAATTGCCTACTCAGTCCAAAGTAGCACTTGTTTGCAAGAGTGATTCTGCGTTGGATTTCCATGCTGACATTATTATCGGTGTTAATGCTAGTTCCCAAGTAAACGAAATACTCTACTTTCTCGAAATTGTAACTGTCAACAGAGACGTGGGTGCCAAGGCGCGAATGTGCTGACTGTTTGTTTGATGACAGGAGATACTTCGTCTTGTCCTCGTTTACCACCAGACCCATACGCTTGGCTTCCTTCCATTCTTTCCTTCATTTCCTTTCATTGCCAGAAAACCCCACACACATCACACTCCATTCGCTGGGCTAATATTGCCTCTGGTTTCAGTTTCTTCGACACACATAGATATGTATTGTTATTTTTATTTCTATTATTTTCTTTTTATTAAATTTGTGCGGTAATGTTCCGATCTCAATTTGCGTATGTGCATATAAAAAGAATAAAATAAAAAAACAACGCAATGGAAAAGAGTGGACAGCAGAGGAATATGTATATTAAAAAGTAAAAAGAGCCAATAAAGGAGAAAGTAAAAAGAGCCACACTTTGCTAAGCAAAGAGCCGCGTTTGCCCAGCGTTGGTATACTATAAAAGCCGTGAGTGTCATAATTAAAAAAAAAAAGGAGTCACGCCACTTTGACTCTTCATAACTTCTTTTCTACTGCAATCACATACTTCTAAGTTCTTCTGCATTCGATTCTCCTCTCTAAATACTACCAGTTCATTATAAACTCAAACATGAGCAATCAACGCACCAAATTTTGCAACGTAAAAATAAAAAGAAATAACGGGAGAGTCACACTTTTATTTGTGAAAATTTCTCAATTTTATTTCTCAATCATATGCATATTTGGCTAGAAAATATGTACCGTGGTCCTTATTGTGCATTTACATAATCTACATAACATATGTAACCTGATGTTTGTTAATAAACCAGCGAAAATTATGTGTCCGAATAAAAACTGTCGAGACATGCGAAAGTCGGAACTAATTGAGAATTGCCCATATACATATGTACGTACATAATCGAAAACGGTAATAAAATGCATAAAAAAAAAACAAACAAAACGAAAACCTTTCTAGCAAAAAAGGAAAACAAAAGATATACTTATCACTGAGTAAAGCATTACTAAGCCACATTTTATTCGATCTTAATTTACTTATGACTTTTGGAAAACTGATTTTATGTTCTTTGCTATAAAGATAATGTCACGATCAAATAAAAGCGCGTAGAAAATGAAAGTTTTTTGAAAAATTTACGTATTTTTTCAATTAGAAGAGCAATACTAAGCACTTCTCCAGCAGATTTTCAAACTTTCTTTGTTAGAAAGGTAAAACCCATTTCTTTCAAACAGAGAAACAAAAATTTTTAATTCGATCAAAAAACAACAAAGTTATAACTTCTTGAAGTTGTAACTTGAAGAATACTAAAGTTTTATTATATTTGTTAGTAAAAAAGTATTAAACGAAGAGATGAAGAAAAACTATAAGTATAGTCGTATCCTATGGGCTATAGCAAAACATAATTTCTATATGAAAACCCCTGCATATTTTTTGTGTAGCACAGTGATATTATTGCATAATAAAATTTTACTCATTTATAGTGTTAAAAACGTCACCCGAATAGACTAACGTTTGCCAATAGTTTTAAATTATTTCAGATGTAAGCCCTTAAATATCTCGACATATGAAATATTGACTCGTATCACTTTCAAAAACAACAGCACATACATATTTATGTACATATTTATAGAAATCTCAAAATTTTAACTCTCTTTAAAGACACTTCTTTTATCGCAGGTTAAAATGTCAAAGTTTGTGGACAAGAATATTGATGACGGCTTGATACTCTCTGGTTACCAGAAAAAGTTTAATACAATGAAAAAGAAGTTTTTTGTATTATATAAAGAGACAGCCCAGGATTGTGCTCGGTTAGAATACTTTGATAGTATAAAAAAGTTTAAATCCGGCACAGCTCCTAAACGTGTTGTGAAATTGGAGAACTGTTTCAACATTAATAGAAGGTTAGACACTAAATATGATTTTGTAATAGCGCTTGCAACAAAAGATGGAGGCTTTGGAATAGTACTTGACAGCGAGACTGAGATGCTAAAATGGTTACAAGCCTTGCTCTCACTTCAACGCAGCACTACTAACCAATATGAAACATCTTCTAAATTTGGTAAGTATGAACTTCGCATGCATAACTATTGCAGGTAATCAGTCCTTCCGCGTTATTATGTTTCCTGATTACCGAATACTATTCTTCAGTGTATTTTATTGCTATAAATTTAATAAAAAATATGACTGCATAATAGGGTTCCCATCGAAAATGTTTTTTTTTTTGAAATTTCAAGACACTACCCCCTTATTTTATCCGTTTTTATGAGAAATATTTTTGCTTATTTTTATAGATTTTTTAAAGGTGATTTAGAGGTCGCGACCTGTCGATTTAGGTCAGAAAATAGGATTTTATAGATTTATGAGTTTTTGAATGACTATTTTTGATTTGATTTCAAAGATTGAATATATCTGAGAAAAGAATATATAGGCCTTTAAAATGGTACATACTAATCTATTGTCGGAGTAGGTTTCTTGGGATTTTTTATCTGGTAAATTAAAAGAGACCCATGTTTCTCTTAATTTTTTAAATTTTGACAATCGATAATTTCTACAATTTTAAAATGTGGAGCGCTAACTAAAATTAAATCTATTTTAAAATGAACTGATACCTCATTTATTTTTTGAACAGTGTGGCTAAGGAGTTCATCAATATTTATTCAAAATTGATATATACAATCGCTCTTCAACAAAAAAGTGGGGTTTGAAGATATTTTATGAAAATGGTGGCACCGCCCGCTTATATCATATATGTGTATCTCAAAATCTAATACTTGACCGAGCTCAACCAAATTTAGTGAACACATTGCGCTTAGGCTTCTTAAGTGCCATATTTTTCAAATCGTACAAATTCCACGTGCTCCACCAACGTAACGGTAATTTCAAAAAACTCAAAGCTAGCTATATTTTAGGACGAGTAGGTTTTGCCCGATTTCAAAAATATTTAAGACGGTACCTAAGGAGGCTAAGCACAATGTGTATACCAACTTTGGTTGAGATCAGTTAAGTAGTTTTTGAGATACGCATATATCATATAAGTGGACGGTGCCACCCCCATTTTCCTAAAATTTCTTAAAAAACCAGTTTTTTGCTAAAGATCGATTATATATATCAATTTTGAATAAACATTGATGAACTGCTTAGATACACAGCTCAAAAAAACTGAAATTCCGGTACATAAACAATATAAATTCCAGGCCGTATTTAAGAAAAGTCGCCTAAATTCGACAATTTTTTTGCGCTTGCAATAAATGAGGTATCAGTTTATTTGAAAATAGATTTAATTTTAGATAGTACTCCATATTTAAAAAATTAAAAGAAATATGGGTCTTTTTATAATGTACACGATAAAAAATCGCAACTAGCCTAGTCTGACAATAGATTATTAAATACCATTTTAAAGGTCTATATATCCTCTTCTCAGATCATATTCGATCTTTGATCTACAAAAACCTATTTTCTGGCCTAAATAGACAGGTCGCGGCCTCTAAATGACCTTTAAAAAATCTATAAAAATGGGCAATAATATTTCTCATAAAAACGAATAAAATTAGGGGGTAGAGTCTTGAAAAAGCATTTTCGATGGGCACCCTACTACATAACCAGCCAGGTGTGAATACCTTCATTTATTTGAGTTGGGCATCACATACACATACACATTTTTATTATTTATCTTTTAATATACGTGTAAATATCAATATTACTGATCTTCTGGAAGGCTCGTAACTTTATATATTTGTATTTGTCAAAAATTTAGGCATTGAATGAATTATCAAACTATAATCCAGTGTTTTCTGAGCCAAAAATGCATATAATCGTTAAGCAATTTTTACTTACACAAATGTTTCAGGAGAACTCCAAAAAAATAACTTCAAGAAAGGTGTTGATTATACAACAATACTAAAGTCTATACCTATACTTAGGGCCTGCGAAAATCAGTAGCCAAGTTCTTTGACGAAAACACTTTTTACTATGGTGAGAAAATTAAACATTTCTGCTTTACCAATTCGGAATTTTTTACTGCTTGAAATTTTTGACAGTTGCTTTCATGCAGAAGAAGTCCAGCGGGTTCATCATAAAATGCAACAGTTATCACAGCGCACGGCAGTGTGCGCGAGTGACGAAAGCAGCCACAGTAGCATGCTGAAATGACTCGCTTTTATATACACGAGATTTGGAAGTTTTTATCCAGACAGCCAATCGACATGTTTGAGATATCGTTGGAAAGGTCTTGAAGAGTGTGTCCAGAAAATGTATTCAAGCTTCATAAGCGATTAACCGGATTCTTAAAAAGTAGGCTAAAGTGTTGCAAAACAAAAAACGTTTTTTTGTTTTTGCCGGTTTAAGGGGGCATGTGGGCACACCCAACATACTTAGTATTATTCTATAGGCCTTATTCTATACCTTTCAAACGATACCTTACATATTAAGTTCCGGCCACTAGTTGGAAAGATATAGAGGTAAATGTGTTTTGGTTCGTGTCTCCACTACGAGATGCTTTGGTATGTATGTGGCGTCTGTACGTACCTTCATTTAATTTTTTTCAAACTTTCAGGAATAAAAGCACAAAAAAACTAAGAAGGTTTTGTTCCAGGATGTTTTGATTCGTATGCCTTTGTGGTCGTGGCTGCTGCCTGAAATTCGAAAAAATGCAATTTTTTAAACTACAACTGAGGCCGCACTACTCAGTCCATGTCATTCATGTGGATATCAGTAGAAGGGTCTCCAAACAAGCTATCTAACTCTATCTTTTGTGTTTATAAAATATAAATATGTCATAACGTTATCGCCTGAAAACTAAAAATCGGGCTGCTGAAAATATGGATTTCGAGAATTTTCTCAAAAACTGGTCAGTGGATTTTATTCTTGGTTTCCACAAATCTAGCCCGAAACCTTAGCTTTCATCTGGTGTATAGCTTATATCTGGGAAAACTCTTGTTGTGGAGATATTGTGATTCAAATTGAAAAAATGTCGCTCTAATGGTTCAGTTTTAAAAAAATTTAATATTTTAGGCAAAAAATATTTTTTTTCTTCATACATTTATTTTTACCGGCAAAACTGTTGATTATATAGAAAAACGTAATATGAACAGATTAAAGGAATTGTAATTTTTAATTTTTTTAAATTTGTTTGAGCAAAATCAGACTAGTGGTTCTCGAGTTATGTCAAAAAAAGACCACCAAAGGTGACAATTTCCCCTATATGATAGTTATATATATATCTCGATTCCTAGACATGACCCAGCTAAACGCCGGGACACGTATAACTTGTTTTTGACCGATATAACATTTCCCGTTGGTTTCATCCCATCCCGATTTTGACTGTCGCATAGTGTTATAGCAGTATGTGTTGAAAACCTGAAAGAATGTGTAACAGTTTTCAAATTTAGCAACTGTTAGGCCCGATTTCAGATGGCCTACTTAAGTAGAAATTGTTGATTAATTTCCACTATTCCTTTTTAGATCATACATTTAGTCTGCACTTAAATGGCCAGTTTTGCTATTTAAATATGAGATATGGAACCCTGTGTTTATACCAAACAACCAAGATTGAAGCAGAAAAGGTAAACAAACATGAAAATGTAACAACAATTTCAAGGAATAAGCAGCAGTGCTGCCAATTGTTTGGCATATTTAAAGAAAGTTGATCTGAAACCCAACGAAAGCTAAATGGCATTTAAACAACAATCCACAATTAAACTTAAGTGCCGTTTAAATATTCATTTGAAATGGGACCTTAGACTATAACATCCTTACTTTTGACGACAAAACTCAGCCTTACAGAGCCTTTACTTACTGACTTGCTTACTTTTTATTTCTATAGCCAATTTAACAAGCTCAGGAAGAAACAAACAGGCATTTTTCTTTTTAATAAGACCCGATAAATAAGTTGCTTAATTTTAACGGGATTTGTTAAAATTTTTGAAATATTTTGTTAAACTTTATTTTTCGGCCGCGGCAGCACTGTCCCATTGTATGTATGTAACGTTAGACTGTCCCAAGAAAACAATTAACGAAATACTTATAAAGCCAAAACTAAAGCTTCGTTAACAACACAGTTTTCATAAAAGTTAAAGTCTGTCTCTGGCTATATTGTCAAATGATCAGTCTATGTTTTATAGTGGTACTATATGTACGGTGACCATTCGTACCGATTTTATGAAAATTGTCCCGCTGAATATTTTTTAAAAGTCGGGGCGTGTAAGTGTCTCGATTTCTCATATTTGTACCGATTAAGTCCAGATATTCAGTGTTTTCTTTATTAATTTAATAAGAGTCTACCTGTACTCTGACCCAAAAGTAATTTTTCGCACAAACGTGACAGAGCAATTATCACAAAGAACATTGAATATAAAGGAGTCATAAACATAGCCAGCATCCTTATTTTCTATGATTTTTGGTTATGTTTTATTCTGTCAAACTGGTACTCTCGCTATACTTGAGTCTGAGGTGATACCTCAGAGGTAGTCCCATAATGATTTGGTTTAGGTCCGATCATTGGATCATTAAGAAATTTACGGTTATCTTAAATTTGTATTATGGTGTCACTACTTTGGCAATTCTTTCCCGCCCAAGGAGTAGTTTAAAAATATATGAAACTAATTAAATGTATTGAGAAGGTAACAACGAATAACGGAACCTAATTGCCTGTTTCTGTTGTTGATTGTGTTCTATTGTTTTCATACAATTTTCCATATATTTCTTTGCAAAATAAAATTTAAAATAAAGGACTTGGATTCGCTTTTTCTTTCGATATACTTAAGTTTATCGATTCTTAAATAACGCATTTTCCGAATCGTATTTTCGAAATTTCGAAATTCGTAACAATGGCATGCCTGGAAACGAGCGAGTAAGAAAATGACAGCTTTTTTGCGTAATTTTGTATGAAAACAATTCTGTGTTGGAAGCGAGATAAAAGTTAAGCAAAGAGATGCCAGTCAATGTGTGTTTTGAGAAAATATTAGTGGTGTTCTTTTAGACACAATTTACCTTTCGCATACGCGTACATTTTTATACACTGATTTATGCTGTAAACACATGTGGTGTGTGGCAATGTTTGCA